TACCTCAAACTAAAGTTAGGATAATATAATTGACATTGCTGGATTCCTTGTAAGACCAGGAATATTTTGAATACAAATGTCATATATTTTTCACAAAAGATAACATATTTACTCAGAGTTAACATTACATCTAAAATTTGTATGTCTAATGCAAAATCTATGATGTTTATATTCAAAATGATCATCAAATTGTAAGAATTTCAGCAATGTAAATTATATTCTGGCCGGGTAATTTGTATGAATTTTATGAGCTAAAACAAATATCTTCAGTTAATAAAAAAAAAATATTCTTCACGACACTATCTGTCAATCAAAGTACCCCACCTTGCCTCCCCTCCTCTTCCAAGCGCCAGATGGTCAGTCCGTCCCAACCCTCCCCCCCACCTCCCACCAATCCTCCCTTCAAGAGAAAGAGTGGGTGAAAACACTAGATTTTAACATTTAGTATTAAATAATACCTCAGATTAAAGTTAGGATAATATAATTGACATTGCTGGATTCCTTGTAAGACCAGGAATATTTTGAATATAAACGTCATATATTTTGCACAAAAGATAACATACTTACTCAGAGTGAACATTTTATCTAAAAATTTTATGTCTAATGCAAAATATATGATGTTTATATTCAAAATGATCATCAAATTGTAAGAATTCCAGCAATGTAAATTATATTCTGGCCGGGTAATTTGTATGAATTTTATGAGCTAAAATAAAAATCTTCAGTTAATAAAAAAAAAAATATATTCTTCACACGGTAACAGATGGTCGGTCGCCGGTCCCTCCCTCCCTCCCCCCACCCCCCACCAACGTCCCTACTAGATAAATGTGTGGGAATACCAGACTGTTTACCTTTTTAGTAATAAATAATAAATCAGACTAAAGTTAGGATAATATAATTGACATTGCTGGATTCCTTGTAAGACCAGGAATATTTTGAATATAAATATCATATATTTTGCACAAAAGATAACATATTTACTCAAGAGTAAACATTATATCTAAAATTTGTATGTCTAATGCAAAATCTATGATGTTTATATTCAAAATGATCATCAAATTGTAAGAATTCCAGCAATGTAAATTATATTCTGGCCGGATAATTTGTATGAATTTTATGAGCTAAATAAAAAAAAAAATTATACTTCACCGTGTAAAGGGATACACCCACCGCGGAATGTGAGCATCCTGGGTTCTGGCAGGGCACCTCGTAAACGTGGAAACGCGGAATATGGGACCGCGTAAAGTGAGGGTTGACTGTATATATATATACACCTAGACCCCGACTTACGACTACGTGGACTTACGACCGTCGGGACTTACGACCGCCTCAGATATAGATAAAAAAATAATAATTTAAATGACACACGCATTTTCTATACCGAAACGTTTCCAGTTAATGTAGTCTCCATGTATAATTAGAAAATTATGGGGGCCCCATGTGCATTCAGCTGACTACATTAAAGGTTAAGTGCTCAGTCACACTGTATCCATTCCTTATTATTTATTACTTTCACTGTACTGTATCCATTCATCATTATTCATTATTTTTACTGTACTGTATTTCATTTTAGATTTTTTTTTAAATTTTTATCTATGTCGGACTTACGACCTGGATTTGGGTCCCTAACCCCGTCGTAAGTCGGGGTCTAGGTGTATATATATATATTTAGTGATTTAAGGGCATTTTAGGGGAATTTTAGGAGTTTTTCTGACTATGCATTTTTTGGCTTTACTTTGTATGTACTTTTTCTGTGAGTTGAAATCAGTTGTGTTTGTTAATCAAGGGACCACTGTATTATTTTTCTTTTTCGACTTACAACCTGGTCGTCGGTCCCAAACCCCGTCGTAAGTCAGGGACTGACTATACATGCCTCTTGTGTATTACTGTCACCATTTAAGGATTACTACTACAATTGTGCTGTATAATTACATGTGTATGCTGTTTATGCAATACTTCCATTTCTTGGTAAAGTTTTCTCAATCTGTGTGTCAATTAAATGTACAGTAATATATCCGTTAGCTGGAATTCATCAAACCCGGAAATCTCCGATATCCGGAATTGAGATTTTCTTGAAAAATCGTTCCCAAAGCCGGATGGGAATAATTTTCAGAGGGGCACATTTTTCGGAAAATTCCAAGAAATTTTTTTCCAATACTTGGAAGATTACGAAAAATTCCAGGGATTGGGGAGTTTTTTCCGGATTTGAGAGATGATGTTATGGGCAATTTCTGGAATTTCCGAGAACATTTTTCCGTTACTCAGAAAATTCCGCAAAATTTCGGGGATGAGGGATATTTTTCCGGCTTTATGAGAGTTGTCCCGTTATCCGGAAATCTCTCAATCCCGTCAGAGCTCTGCACCAATTGTTCCGGCTGACGGGGATATCACTGTAAATTAAGTTGCTATAATATTAACATTACTAGTTACTTTAAAACTGAAATTAGTATCTTAGTCTGTCATCATTATTGAAACTGATGAAACATGAATTCATTGTGTCATTAGAGGGTTTTCCTTATGAACTACTGTACCAAGTGATGTTTAGGCTGCTTCACATTATTTGCTCAACACAATCTATGGTTATAATTGCCATTGAAAATTTAAAACTGTAGCTTAACTTGATCTCTGAACATATTTGTATCGACTTCATTAATCAGTTACTGCAGTTTAATGAGTTGTGGTAAGCCTTGACCTTGACCATGTTCAAAACCTCAATGGACTATTAACTTTATTCTTTTGTGAAAACTCTGCTTTATACAATTTCAGATTGATAGACCCATGGAGCTGCTGACGGACATTCTGGCTCGTAGTGGCTGTGGAAAGCCTGAACCACGGCTAATGTTTCAGACGGGCAAGAACACAGTAGAAGCTGTGTATCAAGTTGGAATTTACTCTGATAAGAATTTTATGGGATCAGGTAAAAAGCTTGCATATTTATCTGTATTGATCAATATCTACTTATCTTAACTACCTGTATCTCTGTGTATCTATTTCCCAAAGGAAGTCCTCAATATTTGGCACTCCAGTTTATGGAATCGCACACTTATGGAAAATTTATTTTAGTAGTACAGGTTGAACCTCCCTAATCCGGTACCTCCCGTCGTCCGGTAAAATTTTAGTTTGCCGGACGACCGCTAGTATCCATGGTTCGGCATACCCTTTGTTTGCAACTGGTCCTCGTGGAGTTTGGTGCTGTCCTCGGTATTTTGAATGTTTCTGTATTATTTCAATTTTTATTTACCCTTAATATGCCTCGTAAGCATATTTATTTTATTATTTAATTTACTGTACAGATATTTTTTCCTCTTTACAGGTGAACATCACCAATTTATGTACAGGTACAGGTACCATAACTATTTTGTCAATTTAAGTGCAGAATGAGAATTATTGTTTATCTATTTTCGTTTATTATAATTACTGTACACTGTACAGTAGAACGTGGATATAACACGAGATACGTTCCAAGAGAGGTCGCTTTAAACCGGATTCACACTAAATCGAAGTGTTGTGTCAATGGAATAATTTAGTTTGGTACTTGAGAGAAACACAAAGTACTAAAAAGACTGAGTCTACCCAGATGCACCTCAGCCCATCTCCTAGAATAAACAAAACATTGTTTTTTGTAGTATTATGTTAAAACAAACACTCATAAATCAACACAGCTAAAATTAAGGGATGTGAAATGGTCTGTTTACTAGCGATCAGCTGATGGGAAGATGGGGGGGGGGTGATATGTTTGACAGTTGATGCCAAGGTCTAGTGCTTATTTATTTATCTGCCCTTAAGAGTAACTTTAAGTTGTTCTCTTATAAAATGTCACTGAACTGACATGGGAGAATATAATTAACATTGCTGGAATTCTTATAAGATTGTGATTAATTTGAATATAAACATGCTATAGCTCGCATTAGACATACAAATATTAGTTCTAATTTAAGAATTTTATTACAGAGAGTACAAATTTTTATCACTTGTGCAAAATATATGACATTTATATTCAAATTATTCGATGTCTTTCAAGGATTCCAGCAATACAAATTATATTCTCCTAACTTTAGTCTGTGATATTATATAAGATAAAAACTGTAAGCCTAAAACACCAAACTCTGCTGGGAAGATGGGGGTGACAGTGACATGTTTGACAGTTGGTGCCGAAGGTCTAGTGAAGTATTTATTTGTTTATTTATGTCCTTTAGCTTGAGGTTTTTATTTTTTTGTATAAAATGTCATAGAAATGACCAGGGAGAATATAATTTACATTGCTGGAATTCTTATAAGATAGTGATTAATTTGAATATAAACATGCTATAGTTTGCACTAGACAAAATTTTTTTTGATCATTTAGTGCATTATTTTGAGTACATGTACAGTACAGCTTTGCCCTTAGGACAGTGTAGCGTTCCCAGAGAAACATTAGGCGCATTAGGCACATTAAAACTGTGTGACAACAATAATACTATGTATTTTACAAAGACCACCTGTGGTTCGGAAAATTCTCTTGTCCAAAGGGTGCCAGATTAGGGAGGTTCAACCTGTACTCAGGTTTGTTAGAATAGTTTGAGGGAAAATATAACTACAGTATACAAAATGTCTTGCAAGAAAAAAAAAAGGCATCCAAACTCCGTAACAAATAAACAAAGAAGCTCCCGAGGTTAAAATTACCATTACGGGTAATACCACAATTACTGTCATCACTATGCATGTTGTCTACTCATGAGTTTGTTTACAAGAATGAAAGTTCAGTGAACCGTACCTACCGTGTCCAACGACCGTAACCCAAAAAACCCAGGTAACGTTCCTATACATTCACTAAGACAACCCCAAGTGACGTTCCTCAACATTCTTAAGTTTCATTGTGTATTTTGAATTTCCAGATGGGACAAAATACTTTGTATTGGTTATTTGTTTAATTTCCAACTCACGCATAATGTTTGTCTCAAGACTCATACCTTGTGGTCATTTGCCCATCTACTATCGTGATGGATGCATATCCTTTGACCTCTGTTCGGAATTATTAGCTGCCATGTTTATTATTATGATAAACAATAAAATTGATGCATAGCATATAAATAAAATAAAAAATAAAATCATCTTCTGAGTGTTGGACACAGTTCAGGCAGTCAACCAGCTGACTCACAGGCTTGTGGCTGTCGCGCCAACTGTGTGTATGATGTGACGTTACATCAGCACAGTCAAGCAGTTATAGCCCAGTAACCCACCACTTCAACATACTTTCACTTCCCACATATAATCACTTTTTTTTTTAGGTTTTTATTATATTTCTAAGGCACAATAGATTATTGTAATGATATTTCCACACCTTTTATAGTTTTATTACAAGTAACAATAAACAAGGCGACGGGGCTGTGGTTCTGGACTTGTATACCAAGATATATCTAAAATAACAATCAAAGATGTTGTTATATGTGACAAACAATTTTTTTTCCTGAAGTTTATTAGAATATGTGCACGTGGATTTATACGCCGATTTGGGCCCAGTGTGATTCGTTACATGTTGAGTGATACAAGCCTGTTTTACATGATCAAATATTTTGTCTCAATAACATTTGGGAAGTGAGTTATTAATGATTCACACTAATTCGGCAACACCGCGCCCGGCTCATCTGGATTGTGCCGACACATCAACAAGCATCCTGTTTGTACCGTGGGAGGAACACAGCTACACCACACCTTAAGAGGACGTGACTCGGCGCAGTTTCTCGCCTTGCAACACTCCAAAACTACCCAGCAACATTCCTGTGTTCTAAACATTGTTGAGTTTCCCCTTGGTAGACATCACAAGTTGTTTGCCTAGGCTGTTGGTGAATGTAGTGTGTAATAATAATAATAATAATAATAATAATAATAATAATAATAATAATAATAATAAACGGTTTATTGAAAAAGTTTGCAGCCCGATGGCTGAAAATATACATTGGACATAAATGACTTATTACATACATTGGTGGTTTAACAAAAGCCTTCATTAGAGAAAGGTGAAGGAACATATACAGTGAACATACAGATTAATGTTTACACACGTAGATCATGTGAGCTGAAGTGTTGAACAGCAGACGCGTAGTGTAGTAACTTCCCCACATATGGCGTTATGAGGGGCATCACGTGGAGTACTAGTTCCCACACAGGTGGTGTTATGAGGGGTTTGATGTGGTGTAGTAATTCCCTCACAGATGGTGTTACGAGGGGCCTGATGATGTAGTAGTTACCTCACAGATGGTGTTATGAGGGGCATCACGTGGATTGCTAGTTCCCTCACAGGTGGTGTTGTGAGGGGCCTGATGTGGTGTAGTAAATCCCTCACAGATGGTGTTACGAGGGGCCTGATGTGGAGTAGTAATTCCCTCACAGATGGTGTTACGAGGGGCCTGATGTGGTGTAGTAATTCCCTCACAGATGGTGTTATGAGGGGCCTGATGTGGTGTAGTAATTCCCTCACAGATGGTGTATGAGGGGCCTGATGTGGTGTAGTAATTCCCTCACAGATGGTGTTATAAGGGGCATCACATGGCGTAGTAATCCCCTCACGGATGGTGTTATGAGGGGCATCACGTGGTGTAGTAATTCCCTCGCAGGTGTTGTGAGGAACCTCACATGATGCTGTAGCAATTCATTCACTACGCGGTGTCGTGCATAATGGGGACACCACGTGGTCCGTTGTCACAAGAATTCACTCACTCATGTGGGTGAGGTGTGGTCCCAGGCCTCTCTATCGTGGAGTCTCAGGGGAATTATCACTGGGTACCTGGGACCTCACTGTGTGAAGGTTAGCTTGGCTCAGACTCAACTGCTGAGTTGGTTTTCACTGACTTAAGCACTGTCACCACTATTCAACACTGGTTCCCTTCCTTTCCCAAATGAAATAGTAACTTCTGGCGAGAACCTGATATTCCGGTGGGGAGGAGGGTTCAGGGGAGGGAGTTGGTATGGGCCAACATAACAGTTGACGTGGCTGCTGCTGAGCAGCGCCAGGTGCTTCTGACCCGTCTTGACCCGTCGGTGGTCAAGGATGAAGTTGCAAGTTCCTTGTGTAACAGACAGAGTCTTATATACAGAGAAGCTTGTCTTGTGTTCGTCAGTTGCATAGTGGTCTTCATTCATCGTGGATGTCTCTCGTCAGTGATCCCAGCAAACCTTCAGTGAACCCAGTGACCTGAGACTTTACCCGGTGCCCAGCTCCGACATTCCTAGGTCATCGAACTTCAGCCCCTGGCAACTCACAAGTTGGTGGTCGCTATAGTAACGGTTGCCTTGACAATGAGGACACACGCAGAGGACACTATATGGGTGGTGTCTCACAAGGAATGATATTGACACCTGAAATTTCTCACTTGATTGGCTCCGCTTACTGGAAGTCTACGGATTTGGTGGCCATATTTTAAAAAATCTTCCCAGAAGTTATTCGTTTTCTTCAATCAAGACTTCAGTATTAGGTATGTCACAAACATATGCTAGTATTATACTCACAATAACATTTGCTACAGCACAGCATCACACGTTAGCCGTCGTGTAGGTTATGTATAATCTATAAGTGTCTTACTTATTTGTACAGTATATATAAATATACTGAAGTATTTTCTCTTTTTCATTTATAGATATTTTAATTCTTTTATTAATATTTTATATAATTTGCTGTAAGTGGATAAGCAAGGTTATTGTGTAGACTGATTTATACCTCCATTTATATTTGATACATGATCAGCGTAATTTTCTGTGTCCTGATATTACCGAGTTGGCGGAACGTTATATTGAAGCCTTTGCTCAGGTTGATGACCCATTCTAGCCAGACACTGATTTAGCTTCCGGCACTAGTGATTATACTGAACAAGCAAATTTGTAAGAAACACAGACGCGTTTAGAGCGTGACCCCTCTCTTGAGAGTAGTGAACAGGTAATTGA